CAACCTGCCCCTCAAGATCAAGGCCACCCGACCCACAGTTGCCCCCCTGGCACCCGTGCCCCCTGCCCGGCCCGCCAGCACCACGGAGCCCATCGTCCTGGAGGACTGAGCCGGGAGGGGGGGGCCTTTCCTTTTTATATTTTTTTATTTCCATGTATGCTCGCACAACGCGGCTGGGGGGGCTGGGGCCCAGCCTTGGAGGGCAGAGGGGGGGGTCCGGGCCTCAGGGGCTGCCCCCTTCAATGCAGCCACTTCCTGTCTGTGTGTCCTACCCCCCCTTCCCCCCGGGGCCAGAGGGGAGGGCACCTGCCCGCCCTTCTCTCTCTTCCCCGGGGTGTTTTTGTACCTCGCCCTGTAACCAGTTCTTATAGTGACCAACCGGGAAATAAAACACCTTTTCTTCACCTGCTGCCACTGCTGTGGTTGGTGGGGGGGGGGTTACAATCTCCTTTATGGGGGGAGAGCCAGGCACAGACATACAGCTGCAATCAAGGCCCATGGAGGGGTTTATTGCACAGAGAATGCAGTCAGACCACAACTCTGGGGTCTCTCCATGCCCCCTCCTCCCAGTGCCAGGGGCCTGAAGGTGCCTCGTTCCCTGGGGCAGCTCTAGCCTTGCTCCCCTGCCCTGGGTGGAGCTTGTTGGGGTAGCTCCCCACCCCCACACTGCTGCACGGGCGCAAGGGCTATGACCCCATATCTCGGGGCTCCTGTCCCTCAGCTCTTGGAGGCAGAAGAAGCTGTCAATGAGCTGCTGGTGCTGGCACAGCCCCCCAGGGTAGGGGGGGCCAGTGGAAAGGGGTTGAGGGGGATGTGCCTCGGGGGAGCCTGCCCTGGAAGTGAGGGCAGGGACAGCCCCTGAGCCACAGCCATATTGTGCAGGATGCAGCAGGCGAGGAAGATGCTGAAGACCTTGGGGGGGCACGTACTGCAGCCCCCCTGGCCCACCCTATCCTGCCAGGCACTGGAACTGCCCCATCAGCCCCCCCCACGGCTGCCCGGGCGGCCACGTGGGTCACGTTATAGTGCTGCTCAGCTGCTGAACACTGGGCCTCCACTGGCACCAGCAGCCAGGGCTGCAGTAGGTAGGGTAGCAAATCATACTGTCGCCTGCGGAGAGCACATGGGATGGGGGTTAGGGTTCGTGGAGTGTAAGACTGGAAGGGACCTCAGAAGATCATTGGGTCCGGCCCCCTGCACCAAGCAGGAAAGATAACGGGGGTCAGGTGCCCCAGCAGGGTGACTTCAGTCTTCTCTTGAAGACGTCCAGGGTAGGTGATTGCAGTCGGGCCCCTCACCTGTGAAAAAGGCTGTAGGCGTGGTCCCAGTTGGCTCGGGGGTGGGGACAGGGCAGGGGCCCCAATCCAGGCTTGATCCTGGCAGGCTCCCGGGTAAGACAGGGCAGGGGCCCTGCTCCTGAAACAGCCCCATCTGGCTGGAGGTAAAAACAGGGCAGGGACCTGGGAATGCACCTGAGCAGGAGAGGATCCCGAGCTGGCTCAGGCAGGGTAGCACAGGGCAGGGCCCCCGGGATCCCCCCAACCCTGCTGGTAGTAGCCTGTTGCCCTCCCCAAGCTGTCTCCCAGCAAACCCCCCACAACAGGAGCTTCTACCCTGCCACCGGGGCTAGGCCTCAGCGCGGGGAGGGTCTCCCTGCCTCGCCTAGGGGTCCTTTCCCATCCACTGGGGGGAGGGACGGTGGCCTGGCCCTTCTCTGGCATGCAGAGCCCACGCCCCCATAAAAGGGGTGCGGGGCACAGCAGGGTGCCTGGGGCTCGCCCAGCAGCCCCCCCGTCCAAGTCGTGGTGCCCCTCGAAGAGGGGGAGGAGGCCGGACGCAGAGCCGGGGCACTCGGCCGCCACACGCATGCAGAGGCCATGGGTGTCCGGCGGCTTCAGGGCCACGTGGGTGCAGCCCAGGGCTCCCAGCACGCCGCGTCGGGAAGCAGATGAAGGCGACGGGCGAGGGCGGCCGTGACCTGGGACATGCTGCCCTGGCTGGTGCCCGCATCTGCCCCGGCCCCTGCCCGGAAGGTGCCCACGGTGTAGAAGTCGAGGGCGGCCGCCACCTTGACGCCTACGGGCAGCGCGTGGCCCAGGTCGGGCGCCAC